CCTCATTCCAATTTTGTGTTTTTCAGTCTAGTGTATTTATTACTGTTTATTTGTATCTCTTCGTGATTTAGGAATTGTCATGCCCTCTTATAACAACTGTTATGGAATTGACTATATGCAAACAACTTTTAACTGCGCTTGTTGCTGTACCAGCTCTATTGTATTACACTTCAAAATTTTCTCTGTTATATATGTATGCAGGAGCTCTTTGGAGTTCAATTATACTTTTAAATGTGTTTGCATCTGGAACCCTTTGGTTTATCCTTGCCTTTAATTATGTTCTTGTTAATTATCATTAGTTCCAACTTTTAAGGTGTGTTGCACTTGCATGCATATGTTGTGCAGTCCTCTAAAACAATGGCGTCATTTTGATACACTGTGGAATGTTTGTTTATTGTCATGCCTGAGCAGGTTAGTAGGCCAAGATCCTAAAACAAACTCAGAACGTTCTGAAAAACGGTCATCAACAGTGTCTTCACGACAGAACAAAGCTGCCAAAGATCAATCCTCAGATGTCTGTGGTGTTAATATCCCTGTTAGTGCCCCCACGAGTCCTTATTCAACTCGAATCCTAAGTCCGTCAAGAGGTGACATTTGGACAGCCAAGTACATGCCTCCCCCTGGTGTTTTCCAAGTCTGGTCTGCACCAGAAATACCTCATTCGGATTGGAATATGGGCCAAGGTTTCTCTTCTCAAACTCTTCCCGAGAGAAACACATCCAGTCTTGATAATTCTCCTCTTCAAAGCCCAAGGATAAGTACTCACTTGCGTGCAACGAGCCCTCGAAGGACACCATCACCACTGAACTCCAGATTGTCCACCGAGACCCCATTGACAATGTGGGACAATAATGCTCAGTCCAATGTACATCCATTACCTCTTCCTCCAGTGCCTGCCATGTCATCACAAGTTCATCCAATATCACCAGTTGGATCGAGATTAGATACTTCTGGTGCCTCTGTGCTTTCACCGTCTGTCCATAATATCACTTCAGATTCTTCATCACTTTCTTCTGGTGTGAGTAAGCCGAACATGATGCCTAGGAAATCTAAATGGCAAAAAGGAAAGCTCATCGGTAGAGGTACTTTCGGCAGTGTGTATGTGGCGTCCAACAGGTTTGTGTGGCTAAATTACGATTTTGTTAGTGTGTCGTGTTACACGGTTTGGTAATATTGGATGCCCCTTTTAACACAGGGAAACTGGAGCCTTATGCGCCATGAAAGAAGTTGAAATTTTACCGGATGATTCCAAGTCAACAGAATGTATGCGGCAGCTGGAGCAGGTTGTGTTCTACTTTAAATGTTTGTCATGATTGGAATTCTTGGTACTTTTCTCCTTGTTTAGCTGTTGTTAAGTTTATCTACCCTTTTTATTTTATTTTATTTTTATTTATTTTTTCATCTGTCTGTTGCAGGGTTTATGTATTCTTCTTTCTAACTTAGTTTATTAAGGATAGGATCTTACCTGAACTTTTCCTAATCATTTTTCAGGAAATTAAAGTGCTCCGCCGTCTAAAACATCCAAATATCGTACAGTATTTTGGTAGCGAAATTGTGAGTGATTTTCCCTCTGAAGCCAAATTTTTGGTTGGCATTATTCTGCTGCTGTAGATAGAGTCTCACGTTTTGTTCTTGCAGGTGGGAGACAAGTTCTATATATACCTGGAATATGTCCATCCAGGTTCAATTAATAGATTTATCCAGGACCATTGTGGTGCTATCACAGAATCTGTAGTTCGGAATTTTACTCGCCATATACTCTGTGGATTGGCTTATTTGCATAGCAAGAAAACCATACACAGGTAGTGCTCTAGTTGTTTTATGTTTTATAATAGAGGAAAAAAACTCATTCCAGAAGATAATTATGGTTACTATTAGATAGCATTTATTTCCAATCATATTGAGCTAATATTTGAAATAGTTTAATTTAAGTGGTGAAAGCATTTTACAAGTGTAGGTTGGGAGTGAGGTTGCAGAAGGTATTATATGAATGGACTGTCATATTTAACATATAATATAGGAAATTCGAAATACTATCATAATTTGTTGTCTTTGGTTCAGTGAGATTCTTAGTTTGACCAGGTCTTATAAAATTTTTGTAGGGACATTAAAGGCGCTAATTTACTAGTTGATGCGTATGGAGTTGTCAAGCTAGCAGATTTTGGGATGGCTAAACATGTGAGTTTATATTTTCACCAAAGTTGTCCAATATGCTTCAGCTTTTAATTCTCTGGACTCTGATGATTATCTTTGTTTGCTTAGTAACTCTGCTGTTTTATTATATTTCATGGCATTAATATTTTTCTTTGTATTCTTCAAGCCAAGATATATTGGCTACTATATACTGTTATGTTGTTTGCTTCATGTTTAACTGCATACTAGCCAAGTCTAGGACATCATAAGAGATCCATACAAATTTTAGTCCAAAAGTGTGACGAAGACTTCAATATTTAACAACAAAGGAAACTTCACCCCAATGAGCAAGCATTCTGCTCCATGTTTAACCAGGAACGAAATTATATTATGTCAATGATTGGTTGAAGTTCTTATTTTGCAGCTGAATGGGCAAAAGGCAAATCTATCATTAAAGGGGAGTCCATATTGGATGGCTCCAGAGGTACAGAAATGTTTTGCAGCTCTTAATTGCTAGACTTGCCCATTTAAGCTCTAATTTGTTGTTTATTGCAGCTTCTGCAGTCTGCTACGCAAACAGATGCTAGTACTGATATTGCATTAGCAGTTGATATATGGAGCTTGGGCTGTACCATCATTGAAATGATGAATGGAAAGCCTCCTTGGGGCGAGTATGAAGGGGTACGCACGATTATTTGTACTGATTTGTAAGCACAATTATTCTAATGATTAACAGCCAGAGATTTTTGTTCAAATGTCAAGTATGAATTTAGTTGGACGTGTTAACTTTGAATTTCTTTGAACTTGATTTTTTTCCATTTTCTTTTTGGGTTTTTCCATATTTGCTCATTCAGCTATTACTTGTCAGTATTTTGTGTAGCAATAATTTTTTTTTTTTCTCCTTAGCTGCTCATTTAGCTTTTGTTTGTTAGCATTTTGCGTGAATAATTTTTGGTTTTCCAGTTACTCGTTTGGCTATATCGTGCTAGCATTTTGCATGACAATAAATTGAAATTCAGGCTGCAGCACTATTCAAGGTTCTTACCGAGAGCCCGCCAATACCAAACACAATGTCGTCAGAAGGCAAAGATTTCTTGCAATGCTGCTTTCGTAGAAATCCGGCCGAAAGACCAACAGCAAGCGAGTTATTAGATCACCCGTTTGTCAGCTACTCCCAACAACCGGATGCCTGTACTCACTCATACGAAGAGCCGCGATTATTGGTAATTACCTTACTATAGGAATTAACTGAAAAAGCCACCCTCTATATGGATAACTACAAAAGCTACTCAAAATGTGACAAGTAGGGAACTTCCCATTCTATTAGCTAAAAATAAGAATTGTAAAATGGTCCCTTTGTGGAAAAATGCTAATGGTGATTGGTTCATGAATGTTCTGGCAGGTCAATACCAAAGCCTCGAGAGAGCATGCGAGGCGTAAGTCTGATCAAGGGCCATACGACCTCAAGCAAGGGAAAACGAGTAGCAAGTAAGAGTTGCCTTTGGTTTTCGGTTTGGTGTACAATTCATTTTCACCTGTTAGATAACCAATGAGGCCGTCTCGAAATATCCCATTTAGCAGAAGCTTGAAAGGTTTGGCAATGGGCAGATTTGCCTTGCTAATGAATTCAGAAAAGAACAATTTTTCTTCCCTGGATTTGGGGCTGTAGCTGCAGAACTTCGTAAACCATGATGAAAATGAAGTTGCGAAAAACCGTGGTTAGGAGTTTTTTGGGAAATGTACGTTTAGTGTGATTGTGTGTTTCTGGGGAATGTATGCTTACTACTGTATGTATTGTGATGTAACCTAAGAGTTTCAGGTCAGGGACTAGTTAGTGAAAGATTTTTCTTTTCTCTTATTTCCTATTCTTTTGTAGATAGACTGCAAACTGTTAAAGAGGAAAATTGTTCTCTGTATCTCCTGGTGTAGCATTTCTGAATGCCAAAACTATGACAAAAAGAAACACAAATATGTATATACATGTTTAAGAACACAAAATATAATGGGGACTGCATTTTGATTGGAGTGTAAACCCTGCATTCAGAATGATGCACTCAGAATTCTTGAAAATCAGACATGACTGTTAATCATCGTTAGCAATATTTAACACATTCGAAGTTATCGGTCCTTTTTCTTTTTTCTTTTCTTTTTTTTTTTTTTTTNAATGCCTAATGGTGCTAAAATGCTCCACCAAGTGGCTTCTTGGATTAATATGTTAGACAAAATTCGCCGTCTCGAGATCACACTAGTGCCTGGAAATGGCCTACATCATAATGCACTGTGCTAAACTTTCAGCTGCTATGGCGGCTATTTTGAATCTAGACATTTTGACTTCTTACAGGCCGCGCGTGCGTGAGTGGGAATCTGATTGAGCTGACCACTAATTAGTTATGGAGATCACTGAAAAGCTCATGATCACTTGCTCCAGCTGCCAAGTTTGAAATAAGTACCTTAAATGCCCAAAACGTTTGACTAACTTCTTTCCGGATTTGTTCGAATAACTTTTGTTCATCGTGCTTCCATGTTGTGTAAGTGCTTCAAATTTGGAATTTTTCTGAATAAATTTTGGTTCGTGATGCTCCCATTTGCGTAACTTAATTGCATGATGCTTTAGGTAGATAATATATTTGACCTAATGAACTTGAAAAAAAAAATAAAAAAATCTGTCACTTGAGAATATTATAACTCATGGTGGTGTTATTGGCTGACTCCTTTACCCACTGAGATGGCTTTGTGGAGTGTGGACTTTTGTGGAGTTTTGCCAACCTCAACTGAAAGGGACAAGTGAGTGACTTTTTGACACTCCCCAGTAATAACAAGTGAGCTTATCAGCTGCATTGTCCCTTATAAATTGCGGCCTCTAAATGCTCGTTTATCCTCAGCCATACTGTCGATCACCGATATTGATAGATAAACAAAATAATTAAGAATCTCGGAAAATGAATCCTCGTGCTTCTCGATTTTCAGCTATGCCCGTTTTGGGTTTTCTGTTGCTAATTACGTTGGGCAACAGCCAACTCGACTACAAATTTTACGACAAAACTTGTCCGAACCTGACAAAGATTGTGAGGTTCGGAGTTTGGTCCGCAATGCTCAACGAGACAAGGCTCGCTGCCTCTATCCTGCGCCTTCATTTCCACGACTGTTTCGTGAATGTAGTCTCCACATGCATGCATCTTTTCATATGCACTTTTATCGTGTATTTATTTTATTTTTCATTTTGCGTGTAGGGATGTGATGGGTCGATATTACTTGATAGTAATAGCGCCTTCACTGGAGAGAAAAACGCATTTCCCAATCGTAACTCGGCCCGCGGATATGAAGTCATTGACTGGATAAAAGATAAAGTCGAAAATGCTTGCCCGTTAACCGTCTCTTGTGCCGATATATTGACTCTTGCTTCAAGAGAAGCTGTCCTTCTGGTACAAATTACACAAGTCTCTTTTACATGATCTTACTTTTTATTTATTATTATTGTCTAACTAATGATGTTGTAACTTGTAAATACAGAGTGGAGGGGGATTTATTCATCTGCCCTTGGGACGTCGAGATGGCCTAACGGCCAATGAGACTGCAGCTAATACCGATCTCCCCTCGCCTTTCGAGCCCTTGGAGAATATCACTGCAAAGTTTATAGCAAAAGGCCTTGATATGAAAGACATGGTTGTACTCTCAGGTACACCACTTATTTCATCTCTAACGACCTCTTTCTCCCGAACCCATTTTTCGTATTACGATTTAAGTTATAACTAATGTTTGAAAAATAACCGGGTTTTTTTTTTTTTTTTTTTTTTNTAAAACTGCAGGGGGTCACACGCTCGGTTTTGCTCAATGCTTCACGTTCAAAAGGAGGCTTTTCGACTCTGATGGGGCGGGAAACCCGGACCCGACACTCGACCCGTCTCTTTTGACCCAACTGCAGAGCTTATGCCAGAACAAACCCGAGTCAGACGCCAACCTGGCGCCTCTGGACTCCACTTCGACCAAATTCGACAACGGGTATTTTAGAAGCCTCGTTAACAACTCGGGACTTCTGCAGTCGGACCAGGCGCTGATGAGCGACAACAGGACGGCTGCATTGGTTTTGAATTACGTGAAATGGCCGTTTTTGTTTACGAAGGATTTCGCGATTTCGATGGTGAAGATGAGCAGCATAGGTGTGCTGACAGGGCAGCAAGGGGAGATTAGGAGGAACTGTAGGGTGGTGAATTAGAGGAAGTTTTTAATTGTGAAATGTGTTTGTGTGTGTGAAGTGATTTGAAATAATGATGACAAAAAGGGCTGTTGTGTGAAGTGTGGATTTTAAGTTGGCTATGTAGGTTTTATGGTTGTTGAGGAACTGTAAAATCAAAGGTGTGTGGGTGTACTTTGAGTGGTTGTGAATTGTGATGCTATAAGACAATGTAGTACTTGGTTTCGTTTCATTTAGTGCTGCAAATGAGTCGAGCATGAACTTTGTCGATTGCAAATCGAACTTTTTTCTTTACTGTTCGAGTTCGACAAGTTATGTAAAATGGTGTTCGACTCAATCCATTAAAAAAAAAGGATGCTCAAGCTCGACTCGATGTTGGACATGGATATAATACTATAATTTTTTTTTAAAACAAAAAAATTCTGAAAGTTCAAATCGCCAAAACTATGGATATAAATTTCTTGAGAAAAAATATACAATTAGTTGATACTAAAAAAGTCCACCATTTTCAACTTTGATTATTCAAGTCCAAAATCGTTCATAATTATATTTGGTTGAAAGATGATTGAAGATTGTAGAATATTTTCCAAATAATTCCCAACAATTGATATTTACAATAAAAAGTTAAAAAGTAGGTCATGACAAATTCCACACACCTACTCAAACAGTGTGTGGGCTACCCAACAATCCCATGATCACACGTACAGCCTAAAACTTTCAGCCCGCCAATATATTCATTTATATTTCTAACGCCACAAATGTTTGTACTCACTGTTTTCCAGGTTGTACAGAGTGAAAATTTCAGCCCGCCAGTATTTTATATTCCTTTGAGATCTTTATTACTCCCTCCTTTTTAAATTAGATGTCGTTTTGACTTTTTTGATTCATCCATTTTGCTACGTATCTAGACATAAAAATATGTCTAGATACGTAGCAAAATGGATGAATCAAAAAAGTCAAAACGACATCTAATTTAAAAAGGAGGGAGTA